GTATAGAGCGCCTATGAAACTTGGAAGAAATAAAACATGATTAATAACGAATATTAGAAGTCTGGCCGTACCAACATAAAATGCACTTAACAAAGCGAGTTATTGACTTAAGAAGTCTGGCTGCATCATCAAAAGATCGCTTTTTGAAGAGGTGATGATGGCAAAGAAAATGAAGATGGTGATAAAGATGATTTATTATTAATACTCTTTTCTTTCTAAATAATGTTTGTGCTGTGTTACTGCTCCTCAGAAAAAGCTCGCTAGATCGATGCTTTATGCTTCTTTTGTTGTTCCTGCTGCTGCTGCTGTTTTTGTTCTGATTTTTTGGCTTTTACTGTGTTTACCAAATAGCTATTATTTTTGGTCTGTTTTGTTTTGTTTACCTCAAAAAACACATGGTGTAATGGTGTACCGAAAATTTAATGATTTTGTTATTGACAATCGCCATGCAAACCTTCAAGAAATATGGTATTGTTGTTTTTCTTATCAGCATCATTATGCTTATCATTTTAATAATAATAATATTAATTAGTATTTTTGAAATATAATAATAATTATTATTAAAATTATTATTATTATTATCCTACTATTATTATTATTATCGATATAATAATAATAATAATAATAATAATAATAATAATAATAATAATAATAATAATAATACACTTTTCAGACTAACACATTTTATCACACGAGCTTTCGACCACGCAGTGGTCTTCATCAAGTGAATTCATCAGATTATAATTATTATTTTATTATTATTATTATTATTATTATTATTATTATTATTAATATTATTATGATGAACGCAATAGCTACTGAAATTTTTGAGGAGATACATACAGGAATATCTATAATGTAATAAATATACGATGAAAGGATAATAATAATGCTTGCAACGGTTGTGATGGCGATGTTATTAATGGCGTTGAAGGCCCGACAACCATTGATAGCGATCAACAGAAAAAGGAATCTTATTGGTTAATTCTGATTCCAATACAACGTGATGACAGCAGCAACAGATGATCGTTTATGACTACGTGGCTCATGCTACTTGTTTTGTGATGGTTACTAAAATGCCACAAGTGAAATTGTGAATAAAAAATATTTACAAGAAATGTATTTGAGATTGAAAAGACGTAGACAGGACGATAAATTCACACACATTCTATTAATTTAATTATATTTACTATTTATTTAAGTATGTATCAAACACCGGAATGCATATCTAGGAACTATGACTAATACTACATCCATACACGTTTTTGAATGACAGTCATTGTTGTATTTTGACGCAAAGTACCCTCATCATGTACAATTGGTAAATATAAAAATTATTTGCTATGCAATTAATATGCCATGGTCGTTTAAACATATTATGTAAACATACACAGCACGTAATAGTAGGCCTAAAATATAATTGTCTTGTTTGTTGTGGATTTCAAATTCAATTTGAGAACTAAAATTATATAAAAATGTATAATTATTATAATTATTTTTAAATAAACTTCGAATTATAGATAGTAATTTTAAACAAATTTATATAAGCACATTTCGATCAATAGCTAAAATTATTCTAAGATTTATAAATTTGAGATTTGTAGCTTGGAATATTCAGCTATAATTCAACCTCACAAAAATCTATCTATTTTTCTAATGAATGTGGGATTAATATTGAAATAAAATAATAATGATAATAGTAATAATTGTTATTACTATTATTGTTATCGATATTATTATTATTATTATTATTATTATTATTATTATTATTATTATTATTATTATTATTATTTTATTAGTATACTATTAGCTGCTTTCCTGGAAAACTAATTTAGGTTAACATATCAAACAATGTCTTATTGAATATTTCAATAAATCATAAACGATTATTAGGTTGTGTGTACGGAATTATTAATCTACCTTCTTAAACCATTTAGCGATCTTCAGAGAGTTATTATTTATCCTTAATGAATGAGTATACCTTCTCAGAATTATCACCGTCGGTGGTATATGCTTGTGATGAAGAATTCAGTTCCTGGCTGTGATCAATCGAATGCATAATGATGTATTCCTAGCAAATTACAAGATACATAATCAACATGGCCGCCACTACTTATCGTATCGTTATTGATTTTAAACAACTATCGGTACTTAATCCAAGTGTGACGCACGACAGCAAGAAAATAATGGTAACGTATCACGTTACAGTGAATAACAGATATATTTCCTAATTTTATTAAATCCTTATGAATGACGTTAGAATTTTGTCAGTATAGGCCTATTTATGTAATTCCGTACTGTTTTACCAGGGAACAACTGTTCCCTGGTTTTACTACACAGAAATATTAATATCCATTACGGGTTTATGTACAGCATAGTTTTTTCGCTTGGTAATTTTGCTGGGAAAATGGTAGTGTTTGTATTTCGGCTACCTATTGGTGGGCTGCTCTCGAAAAGTATTAGGCCTCTGCTGGAACGGAAGAAATCGCGTCGAGTTCTAGATCAGGATATCCGCGTTCAACACAACGGAAAGCCACAATGTACACTCCTTATTTGCTAATCATTCTGATTTTTTTTTTCAAGGTCTGCAGAAAACGAATTCATTGTAATGGTACCATTTACTCTCCTCACTCTCGGCCGGTCCATTAATTGTTCCCGCAGCCCCACTGCCTGCACTAGAGATCAACCTGAAGCCTTTACTTAAAAGCATATCAAACGCATGTTCCAAGAAGACATGTTTTAGATAAAAACGACTAGTGTATCGAGAGCTCAGCCCACGGTCGGGATCACGACTCTCATTCAGAGATTCCCCAAACACGTCCCTCGCAATAGAAACCCGTCCACAAACGAGAATTCGTAGTATTTTGCGAAATTTAACATCAACCAAACCATCCCTACCAAATGCAAATGTACCTCTGTAACCGATCGTCAAGCATCCTGGCTTCAGATTGTCGGCTTCCTTGGACATGGGCAAAACCGCAGAGGGCGAAGGCCTAATGACCATACGGTCTGCATCCTCTGATAATAAAGCTACTAACTGGGGCAGTCGAAAATATTCAGCTTCCGCTATCAACCTGTTAACATTTTCATAGTTACTAGGTAGGATAATTCTACCGTCACGCAAATAATCCAAGATATACCGAAACAAGTCACCGTCACGATCGATGAAGTATTTCCCACGATTGTCCTTTACAAGTATCGTGGGGTCGGCAAACATCTCAGCAATCACAGAACCGCTGTGCTTCCTTAAAGTTGACAGCGTTGTCGTAAACTCACGACCACCGACGTTGAGTTCGGCTAAGGCTTGTGAGATCGACGGCAGTGATGACATGGTTTCTCTTGTTTGAGTGCTGGTCCGTCGACGACTGCTGCTTAAAACTATTCAACATGAATTTATACCGACACAACAACAGAGTGATCTGGAAATGGCAGCACGGTGGCGTCCTACAAAAATTACAATATGTAAAATTGGTCATCTTCACATCTTCTCAGGTCCAATTACACACTATTGGCTTTTACAAATCGCTATTCAATTACATAATGAAATAGATTCTATAATGGCTGCCTACCGTTAATACATCATCTCCATTATTTCCATAAGTGTTTAAGTGAAATTATCCTAAGCAGTTTTCTTCTTTTTTTTTCGGAATTTGCATTATTCTGACATTTGTTCTTGCTTGTTCTTAGAGAACAATTTTTAAAAATCAAAAAGTTTAAACATTGGCATACAGTACAGCCATTCTCAATTCATTCATTTATTCCTTTGATCATTCAATTTCTCATTTTTTATTATCAAACTTACTGCGGTGAGCTTACAAATTACAAGTAGATTTACAACAATGATAAAATGATACTAAGGCCTATTATACAAATTCATATTAAGAAAGAAAAAGAAAAAGTAAAGAAAGAAAAAGAAAAAGTAAAGAAAGAAAAAGAAAAAGTAAAGAAAGAAAAAGAAAAAGTAAAGAAAGAAAAAGAAAAAGTAAGGAAAGAAAAAGAAAGAGTAAAGAAAGAAAAAGAAAAAGTAAAGAAAGAAAAAGTAAAGAAAGAAAAAGAAAAAGTAAAGAAAGAAAAAGTAAAGAAAGAAAAAGAAAAAGTAAAGAAAAAAAAAGAACGGGGAAGGGGTAGAAACTAATAACAAAATTTCAGAAATCAGAAACAACGAAACATACTTTGGGGAAAAAACAATAACCAAAACATTTGCATTAGGAAAAAACAATTCACACCACAACCACACAGTAAAGAGATAATGATTGCTCTAAACCTTTTTAAATAATGAACAATTACAAATAGAAATCATTAGGTTACATTAAAAAACAACAATCAAATAATTTATATTGCTTGGCAGAATATATGTAAAGTTCCTTAATAAAAAAGAAAACAACAAAAACATGGCAGTAGATATCAGATCCTCAATATCTATATGATCACCAAGCAATATCGCTTAGGATTAATAATGATCAGACAATGAGAAGGCCAGGTGGGCCTATGGAAACTAAATAATAATATGTTAAAAGACAAAGTATATAGCTCAAGCATTAAACATATAATCAAAAATACAAATACCAAACAAAACAAAAAGAAATGATATAGACTAAAGTCTGCTTTGGGAACTTATCAAAATTAAAATCAAAGGATTTTCATGTAAATACGACAGAGAAAAAATGAGTAAACAATTGGATGAGAAATATAGAATTTATAAAAGACATGCCAAACAAAAGCTTCTTGGTATATTATTGTTAATTACCGTGTTAAAGATTGCCGGACATACATGCTGCAAATAGGATAAACTTCAAACAATTTGAGATAGATTGATTTAACCTAAAAGAAGGGCCTCGTGTACTGATGGTGAAAGAATATGTTTGTAATAAATAAAACCATGATGAAAATGCTTATATTTAGTTTCAAACACACGTGTGTGGCATATATTATAAATAAGATAAGCCCTATGTCGTATTGTTTTCTATATGGGGAGTGGCGTAGGGTGGGTATGGTAAATTACTAACCGGGAAAATAAATACCCACTTTGACCCAAGACGCCTGTTACGCGCCTGGTGTTGGCGCCAATGTGTGCCCTTGTGCGGACAGGGGATGTGCCCCCCTCTAAAGCTGGAAACCTTGTTTTTGCAAAATAAATTGATGCAATTTGCTATTATAGGCCTAATCAATGAATTCCTCATCAACCGATATAACCTTAAACATTCTTGGAATTGACATAACATTACTGATGTCGTACACACCCTTCAGTGTGAAATGTGGCTCTCTTTGCAAGCACATCTAACATCTAAGGAAAGAAGAGCTTAAATTGGTACCAGTTAAAATAATTTTGTTATCAACATTAATACATTATGCTAATATTCATCTTTGTAAGCGCACAAGACAGTGCAAATTATTTCTGTTACAGTCTTTTGAAGTGTGTGAAGCTCCATTTTATCCCATACATAGTCAAAATTTGGGGGGGGTGATACAATGGACCCCCCCCCCCCTGGTCAAATATTGGGGGATATATCCCCATCCCCCCGGGATCTACGCCTATGTATGCCGCTACATTACCGGCCCCAATGGACATACTACAGGGTGGTCATTCTACAAATAACATAGTGGCATAACAGCATCCAGACATGTCATATCATAGGTGATGGAACACAATACAATGAACTTCTATTGTATTGTTCTAATCTAAAAACTTAAACATAAAGTTAAAACTAACATAAAACAAATGGTGTAACTTTTTAATTTAAATGATTACGGTTTCTATCAATAAAACATCTAATCATCGATTAATTCTGCTTCATACAAGCACTACATAATGTCTAGATTATGTTTCTACTTGGTCAACCTATGTCGAAGCTTCCACTAAACAAAGTTTCACAATTGATCTCCTTAACAGTTTCGAGCCAAAAACATCTGCTTCTCTCACTTTCTTATCTTTTCCTTCGAAGACCTCTACCACTCTTGGACCTATACCATTTTCCTCTTGGAGCGTTGTCATCCACTCAGCGGTGTATCCAGGATTTTTTCTGGGTGGGTAGTGATCATAATTTTTGGACCTTTCAGAGGGGGACAGGAAAACAGAGCCATAGATAGAGAGAGTTTGGCCAACTCGGTTTCAATCACGTGACTTACACCGGCCATGTTGTCACCAAAACAAAACAACGCGATAGGGTAGGAAGTTAGCAGTTATTATAGTCTCTTATACACATCATGCTATATAATGTGAAATACCGTTATGTTGGGTTTGGGGTTGCTGCAATCGATCCAACAAAGAAACAAAAATGTATTAATTTCCTTAAATTCCAAAAAGGAGGAGGATTTGGGATTTTACTTTAACTTTGCATGGCGATCGAAAAATCTCGCTATCCACGTAGTAAATTATAAGGCATGTACCGCCCGCCCCACTCGCGGTAATAATATATCCACCTACTACTACTAGGCCTAGACAGGCCTAAATTTCGGTACTTCTTCGGCCGAACACCTTAAGGTAGTACTTAAATCGGCTTTAAAAAAAAAGGAAGAATTTTCAAGCAGCAATGATTTATAAAAAGATGCAATGTTGCACTTTGCTGTTAAATTATATAACTAAATTTCCAGAAAGCTACATGAAGAATCAGTCAAAGGTATCTTAAATTATAATTAAAAATAAAAATTGAATCCTCCAATAAAAGGAAAACTTGTCCAAGGAGTCCTGTGCTATGCAAACATGCCCAATTGTGCTTTACAAATCAATTAATTGTGCAACTAAAGATTTTAAAGATAAAAATATATTTTAAAGATATAGGCCTAATTGTATTATAATATATTGATTGTTTTAATACATATTTTAAATCAAAGCGTTCAAATGTTTTACAAATTACAAATCAAAATTTCAATGAATAGTAATAAATAATAAATAATAATAATAATAATAAATAATAATACAGTAATAATGATAATATTATAACTCACTTATATTATAAACAAAGTGTGGAGAATGCTGCTATTTTACTTACAAGGCCTAGCTTCTTGATTATGAATGATTAGGCATATGTTGTACAAAAATTTCTCTCAATGCAATAATTCTTCAACTTTGATTTATTGTTTAGATTACAATTTACAAATAGGCCTAGAATTTGTATTGGTTTGATGACCAGCATATTATTTCATAAATTAAAGTTTACGAAGTCATAGGCCTAAAGGCCTAGATACAATTATAAAACTTTCATGTTATTAATATTTTTATCATTCATTTACTGGCGAAATTAACATATTATCGCTGACGATTCACAAACCTACTCTCTGCACAACCAACCTTTCTCCTCTGTAGTGTTGACTCTTAGGAGCCTCATGCTATAGAGGAGGCTGCTAGCAACTAGGTATAGGCCTAGGCCTAGATGATAGACTTTCAAAACAAAAAGATAATCGTAACGAAAAAAAAAGAAGAATTGTCCTCACTTTATCTTCTTGAAATAATACAGCACGTCACTGATTAATTAATTCCAAAGTTAGGTAAATATGATTATATATGATATTTACAATGATATGTTAAAATCCCATAATTGAATTGTCCTCATGAACAGAATAATGAAAGAAAGTTTATGCAGCATCAGTGTTTTATAAAATGTTATAAAGCTATACGCGCGCACGCTGTTTGGTGACAACATGGCGCCCATGCGCCAAGTTGGCCAAACTCTCTCTATCTACGGCTCTGCAGGAAAATCGATTACAGCGCCACCAGCTTCAAGCGGATGGCAAGCTAAGTTTTAGAAATGCTGGAACTGAGATAGATTACTGGGGCGGATGCTGGATTTGGCTGTATGGGGTGCGCGCAAACAATTACGGAAATAGTACCTGTGATGGCCGGAAATGACACTTTCATATAGTAAAATTCATCATCACATCACCATTATATAGTCAAAAGTATCATCAGCGATTTTCGGAAACCATAGATATCTAATTAGTATGTGTAATGTACATAAACCTTAAAACATTCTCTTTGATGTATCAAATGGTTGGGGCCGACGTGAGAAAATAGTGCCTTTAGATGGCCGGAAATGACACTTTTATACAGTAAAATTCACCATTATCACACCATCACTATTTAGTCTAGATGAAGCGCCAGCAAATTTCTCATAACCCTTAATCAGGGATTTTTGGCAACAACAGAGATCTAATTCATACGAGTTTGATGTACCATAAAAATAAAACTAAAGAAACACTTTATTTGATGTATTTAATATACTCGACCTACCTCAAAGCCATGTGCCCACATTCATGGTGGGGCTGAGGTGAGAAAATTTTAGGAAATAGTACCTCAAGATGGCTCAAAATGACACTTTTAAATAGTAAAATTCATCATCATCCCATCACCATTATAATATAGTCGAAATGAAACGCCAACTAATTCTC